CTCCTGGATAAGTTTTGTAAACAGTCCAGGAAATATTTCTCTGAATATACTTAACTCAGTAAGAACAATGCAGTTTTATGTTTTTATACCAGCTGTACATTAAATACCAATGTGGAGAGGGGGTGGTTGCTAACTTACTCTTGCATTATTTTTTAAGTCACTTTACATGATCTGAGTTCTGTTTGTTGAATAATACATAGAGCTGCATGAAAACATTAAATCAGTAATCCTCAAACATTTATGCTGAAAGCTTTTCCATGAGAATCTTCAGTGTGTTAGTTTCCTCTCTAAACACTACAGTTCCTTACAGCTGTGTTGCATTTGCAGACTCCAGACAAAAGCTCTGTGCTCTATTAGTATTACTAACTTTGAAAACTAACCAAATTCAGCTGGCAATAAAGGCAAAAGCATTCAAAACAATTCTCAAAACTAGAAGACTGTCTAAATCGGTGCCATTTTATTTGCCTGAAACTGAATGTTAGTTAAATAAGAGCATGGATATATGTAGGAAGTTAACCAGTATTAGCTGATTTATAATTTAATCTACTCAATGATTGAATTAAGATGTTATGCAATGGCAGTCTGTTTCCTATTCTGCAAATTGTAAAGTAAACTCAAGTTTACCTTGAGATGTAAAGAAAAATGAAATGTTTTAATCAAAAGCTTCAGAAAATCTTTTTAGCATGAAAACAGTATTTCAGTGCTGCTGAGTCTTTGCTTTTGGATCAAGCAATAGCAAAGAAAAACAGCTGTGACTGACTTGCTGGATGTATGTGTTTTCAGAGGTTGCAGAAACACCTGTCAGGAGCTAAGCACATCAGTTCTATGCCTACTGCATAACCCTGGAATGTTCTGCAGAGCTTTTTGTAAGAAAGTGTTAATGTTAAAAAGTAATATTCAAAGGACTTCCCAGTCTTCCACAGGGCTTGCTTATCAATAGGAAGTCAAATGGAGGAACTTTGGTGCATACTTAGACATAATTGTCCTGTTGAAGAATGAAGGATAGGGAGATGAGAGTTTATGCCTTATTTTGATGGTGATGTTGGAAATAATTCATAAGAGAAGTCCTGGAGCTATGCTGTGTTTTTGCCAACTGCTGGTGTACTTTCATGGACCCAAATGAAAAGTGGGGACAAGAAATTCTGAGGTACAAGGGTTAGCTGTGCTTCAAATTGTCTTCTCTGCTTTTGGTTTGGAAGAAATACTGTATACACATTGGAGCAGACTGGTTCCAGTGGACAGTCTGAAAGGAGCTTGGAGGGCTGAACTCATCCAAAATCTCAACTGAAAAGAATATGAATATGAAGCAATTCAGAATTTATGCATGCCATAGTAAAGAACTAATAAAATACCTGCCAGAAGCTGCTTAGAAACATGCTTAGCCATGTTCTGTGAACAAGGGTCTTGGAAACATGCCTTTGTTCTTCTAGTGTCTAACTGATGGGAAGGACTTAAGATTTTTGCAGTTCCTAAAGTGTGTTGCTATGTAGAAAACTATCTTCTAACTTCAGTGCTTTGTCTTGAATGCATAGAGAAAGTTATAATGTATAAGCTAACTTAACTGAAGAAAGCACAGGTCGTACCTGCATCCTGGAAGAAAGGAAGGAAGGTTGGGCTTTTATTTTGCAGATAGCTTCTGTTAGGCAATTTGGGGTCATATCTTAGGCCTGTATTGGATTATAGGTGCTGTGCAGGTAATTTAACTGCTGTGCCTTCTGTGCATATGCCATAAAACTGGACAGCATTTGTCCTCACTTCTAGGAGTTTCTTTACAGAAACTATCTTTGATCTTACTGTAGGGAACATGAGAACTGTTTCCTCACTTCAATCCTGTTTGAGCTGCATATTATTTTTGATGTCTTAGACTTGCGAACAGTTCAGAAGTTGTCTTGCTGGGGTAAAAAGGCACCTGGCACTGTATCACACAGCACTCCGTTGTTTTGGTTGTGACATTGTGTTCCTTTTGCACATGCCTTGAAACTATGGTATGAAGGAGAAAGGATGATGCAATAAAACCAAACCACTTTCTTGAAGGAATCACAAATGCAAGTATGAATATTCATAAGAGACTAAGGTAGAAGCCATGGTAACTTCTTCCAGAAGTTCTCATTTGAAGGAGATAAACCTGGAGAACTGTAACACCTGAAACGGTATATGTGCAGTAGCTACAAGTGAGGGGAACTGGGTGCCAGGATTTAAATTTTGGATATTTATATCATACTGATGTTAGAAATTAATGTTGGGAGATCACAATGTATCCTTGTCAAAATAAGTGTTGTACTAAAGCTAGCTTACAGGAACGTGAATGCTTTTGCTTTATAATGAATTACACCAAAATAGTATTTGAGTTTTGCTCAGTGCCTACACTGTCAAACTCAAAATGTGTTTTGGATTTGGACAATCCAGTACAATGTTGACAAAATCCTCCAGCTTTGTTTAAATGTGTGGAAACAAAGTGAAAAAAGGATACACTAGTTAAAGCAGTTTAGATAGTTAAATTTGTATTAGGTATGAATAAAGATCAGATTTTCTGGTTTTCACTCTTCACATAATATTGTAATGGTAATTTAAAAAAAAAAAGGTCTGAATTGGGAGTGTGTGTGAACTACTGCTTGAAACAGTAAGTATGAAATCCATTCAGTATTATGTACAAGTAGTATATCACAGTCTGTTCAAATAACCTCAGGGCTCTGAAATTTCTTACACTTTTAAGTTTGAAGCCTGGAACTCTGCTCTTACTTCACTGCTTTGTGCCACCTGTAAAATCACATTTTGCAGGAGAGTGAGATAAATGCCAGTGGGTAGCTTTTTAGTATATCCAATGAAATATTAAGCATTGTGTAAAAGGAGTACTATTTTATATTGCAAGATGAGCGGCAAAACTTAGGGTACTAACCTGGAACATACTGTTTTTATAGACTTGCTGATACCTAATTTTACACTAGTAGGGGAAAAAAATCCTAGTTGCTTCATCTAGTCTGCATTTCTGTGAACTGCTGGGTTATACTGATTAGTGTTTTTTCTTTTCTTGTTTATTCAGGATATATGACTCGAATCCTGAACAACCAAATATATTCCAGGTGGAGCAGCTGGAACGTCTCAAGAAAGAATTACCAGAGTTGAAAAGCTGTGTGTGTCCCACAGTTAGCCACTTTAAATCCATATCTCCATGTAAATGTCATCATAGTTGCCTGGAAGAGAAAGCTGTAGATAACTTGAAGAGTGTTCAAATGCAAAAGGACTGATTCTAGGCAGAATGCTAGTTTTGTATCTATTCAACTTTGACCATTGGAACAGTGCTGTTCTATGCCTTCAGGTTTGTTTATTTGTTTTATTTTTAAGTCCCCAAATAGCAATAACTGTGTTCCTCCTTCCTGACAGTACTTGTTAAAATTTCAAACAATGTTAAAATATTCAGCCAGCTATAGTTATTGTTCCAGTTTACATAGACAGTTTTAACTTTTTCCTATAATAGTCTCAAATCTTGAAAAAGAAAATTAACACTAAGTGTGTTTTTAAAAGTAGAAAAAATACTAAGCAGTCAAAGGAGTGGAAGCTCAGAAATGAAATTGTAGGGAAATGACAGGGATCTGATACTGAATATGCTGGAAAATTGTCTTGACTTTGATTTTACTTCAATGCTAAATCTTGTCAGCCTGTATCTGACAACAGGAAAATGAGAGTGATTGTAAGATACATATAATTAGATCTTGCCTGAATAAATTGGTACCTCATATATATGTATTTGCACTGATAGATCCACCTGTACAAAGCTTTGTGCCATTTAAAAATATGTATATATTTTTAAGTAAATGGCAATGCATGTTAACTCATTTTCCCCTGCTTCACTGGACATTCAGGCTGCTGCCATTATTTTCCACTTTGCCAATTCATTGGTACAGTGTCTGTGTATAGCAGTCAAGGGTGAACCACAAGTAAGATTTTTTTTTTTCATTAATCTTACACAGGCCTGCTAAACTTTAGCAATGTTGCAAATAATTTTAACAGAATTACAGAAACATCTTCAGTGGTTGAGAATCTTTTTTTGCACAGTAACCTTAATAAACAGAACATGTAACATGCACAAGCTCTACGAAATGCATGCTTTAGTTATTAAGCATGAAATTTAGGTGTTTGCTGAGGTCCTTGCATCTTTACGGTGCTAGTTATGTATGAAGGGTGCAAGGACTAACTCAACTACTTAATCTTTGCCTAAAACCACAAGCCTGTTATTCACAAACATTTGAGGAAAAGGCTATACCATACATGGTTTGTCTTATTTACTTATTTACCAGCGACTAGCTTTTGTATTTTGCAAGAATTTTTTTTCCTCAGAGCAAGAATCACAAATGTACTGAAATCAGATAATCGGTATTCTGTTGGCTGGTATCTATCCTCTGTAATTTATTACAAAGTCATAGTTTAGAGTTCTTAATAGATATGTATGCATGTCCTTTTTCCTCCTGAAGTTGCAGGTCATGCCAACACAACAGCTGTAACTTTCTACTGAAGTGTTAATGTACAATAAGAATGGAAAATATTTATTTTTTTCTCTTGTAAATGGACAATGAAAACAATAGCGTGTACTATATTCTTTATATACAGTCATTGCTACATAGAACTGATTGTACAAAGAGTAAAGCCATTGCAAGTGCGTGCTTGAGCCTGCACTGCTGAGCAACTTGAAACAAACAGCTTGTTTCAACTTGCCTTGTGCATTTTAGTATTTAAAGCTTGTTCGTCCTGCACAAACAGCACAGTAATGATTAGGTATCTGGAAACTGTCTTTTATTTAAAAAAAAATAAAAATTAAACCAAAATTTGGAAGTGTGTGAGCTGTGTTTTTTGGGAGGGAAGGGGCACTGAACCTGATTCTTGACATCAGGAACCTGTGGCTGTTACCTTTACACAGCAAGTCCAGATTCCTCACCTATGTGATTAATTCTTGATTTTTTTCTTATTTGTATACCCCTGTGGGGTTCTCTTGACAGGTCTCAAGGGCTTTGCCAGCGGATGTGCAACCCCTACCAGAGTTGTGTGTCACTGCTCATGAATGCTGGGCAGTGCATCCAGAGATGTTAAACATGACAGCTGTTTTGTGTGAAGGTGGCTTAAAAGTTGTGCTGTCTGAAGCACCCTCTCAGACTAATCACAATGTGATGCTGAGAAGAGCTTAGGCACCCTTAAAAACTTGTTTCCTAACCTTCAGATGCTGAGAGAATAGCATATGACTGTTTGTAGGGGGTGGGGCTGGAAATAAATACACCCACCCACTGTGGTGATGATTTTGCAAGAGGCTTTTGGGCAGTGTTACAATTTCAATGTATTCTTGCTGACTCCCTTATTTACAAGTAAGTCATCAGCAACTTGCTCCAAACCTGACTAGGCTTTAACGAGCTCTTCTGCTGTGTCACTTAGAGCTGAGCTCATGGCTTGGCCATGTGCAACAGTTGTTCTGCCACAGCTGACAGGGCAAGGCAGCAGGGGTGTAGGGAACCAGAGCAGGGTTTTGGGGAGGGAGAGGGTGGTCTGGTCAAAGAGGGTTTTACGTAACCTTGTGCAATTGTTCCATCCCTATGCCCTCGCATGAGCATGCAGCTACTCTGCACTGATGCCCAGCTGGGTGAAGACACCTTGGAAATGCGGGATTTCTGCTGAGACCACTATGCAGCCTGACTGCCCTGGCAGCTGCTCTCCTGTTTACTAAGGTAAGCATCTTGCCTGGTGAAAGGCAGCTGTCAGGCTTCCACTCCGGCTTTTTGGAGCGCTTCCTTTTGGGCCCACCCAAAGACTGGACTATGTGTGGCTCATGACATCTGTGTTACTTCATACTCTGTCTCTGTCCCCTGTAAATAAGTGGCAAGGGGGGATGACAACATTGCCCTGTACCAGACAGTAATGCGGAAAATCACAGTTCCTGCGCAGCCTGCACCAGAGAAGGTCGCCTGTGGGGGGCAGCTGCTGGCTCCCAGCTGCCCTCCTGGCGCTTTCCCCTGGGCTGTGTGTGCTGAATCACTCCCCGCTGCGCCGGGGGAGGTCTACAGCTTTTCCTCCCAGATGGTGCAGATGCAGACACCGCCTCCGCACCGCAGCAATCCTCCTCTTCCCCCGCCCATCAGCCCATCCAGGAGCGGTGGCGCGGTCCTCCGCCGAGACGGGAGGAGCGGGAGCTGCACTGCAGTAATTCGTCTCGCCGCCTGCACTGATGGTTCCCTCAGGGCGCCACCTCCCATCGCGGTGATAAACGCAGCTAGCGGTGAAGCGGTCCCGCGGGCGGCCGGGAGCTGGTGCTTTGAGGCGCTT